ATACCGCTGAACCACAGTGACATAACATCGGCCACTTTTAGATCTCGGCGTCATGTAACCGTCAGATACATTACTTTTCCACCGACCTGCCATGTGAAAGACTAAAGTCAGAGTACTTTCAACCCATGTTGATGATTTACAAAGCGTCCAGCTAAGGCTAATAGAAGGAGCGACGATGACGTTGAGCAATAACAGTTCAGTGCATTGAGTTACTGAGTAGGGGGGATTTAATTTATGAAAGGCATAATTTGTCTTGGTTTGCCATTTCTATCAACACATCATGGATGTTTAATTTAAAATAGTAATATCTTACCACTTAAGCCCGATTTAAAGCCTGTCCGGCATTCATTTCAGCGTAACATTACATTCCAAAGCCGCCCACCCCCCCCTTTAATATGTCAAAGTAGTCTATTCTTCAAGTTATGCTAAGAATTGACTGCATAGGCAAGTTTCTATGATGAGCCCAAATATGAAACAGATTCCACGTTATATTGTTTGATGGCTGTTGTATTTTAGCTAGATTTCAGTTGCCACTGAATGAATGAGGCCCAAGACACTTAGGCATGGTTGTTCTTTTGTTTCTTTTTATATAATGGCAATCAGCTAAATTAGCTGGAACACATACTTTAAAACAGATTTTATTTGAATTTTCTGTGAACATAATAGCTTCATTAACTGAATTGAACAGTTTGGCTGCGTAAAAGACGCTTTAGACCCCCCCAAATCTCCAGGCTACATGCATCTTCCTAAGAATAATAGGCATCATTTTAGTATTAAATTAAAAGTTGGTAATGGCAGTACTTTGGAACTGAATTAAAATGATATGTTGCATCTGTTCTGAGGAAAGTCACTTATACGTATGCATACTTATATACATTTTAACTGGAACATGAACATATATAATATATATATATATACATACATACACACAGCACAATACTCATCAATACGTTTTAAATCTGTCATTTCATGATTTCTAAAATGTCGCTTACCAGAAATCTTTTCCACTCTAATGTCCCATTATCATGTCTGTGAGTCTCCCCCAACAGAGCAGACAAACGCAGATGTTCATTCTGTGTAGACACTCACCACCCAGTGGTATTTAAATATCCAGCAGACTCCGCCTCTCTTTGGGAGTTTCAAAGAGTAGCTTTTTTTCAGTTTGGGAGTGTCGAAGGGCAGCTCATCCAGTTGAGGCAGATTTAGCTCTATACTTCTTTACGTACAGTATTCGGATGTCATTGACAGGGCACACAAAATAATTTTAGTCAGTTTAAATGATGCCTTCAAAAACACCAAAACAGTGGAGAGCATAGTAAGTAGAATTAGAATCTATTATAAAGATTTTCAGCTATGCTTGTGAGTGAGCTGTGAGCATCAACAATTTTACTGTGACAGTTACAGACATATCTACTGCTGCTGTTAGCCAATTTGATAGGATTAGTGTGTGTCAGACAGGTTCTCACTGTAGACCATAAACACAAGTTTATAGCTGAAAACAGCTAAAAGGTGATTTCCAATAAACGGTACTGTACGTTGAGTTGTTTTTTCAACCCCTTGGTTGTTTGTCTGTTATGTGACATGTGTAAAGTAAGTACTTACATAACATCCATCAAATTATCTATAAAAGTTATGGGAGATGGGAAGGTCAGCAAGAGCCAAAGGAGACTTCACCATAAAAGGACTTGTTATAGATGCCAATTCGACTCCTGCTTAAAAAAAACAACCTTTTGTTGAACATAGTGGGGTCATTTTACCTCCGAGAGTTAATTATTTCAGCAATATCTTTTGTAACATCTCTGTTTGTACCTTCAGCAAAGAGAACACATTGAGGTTATATTGAACCCTCGTGTATTAAGAAGGTTCAAACTAAGTTTCACACAATTGACCTCATTGTCCCTTTATTACCGTTTTCAAATGCATGTTCAGACCTCATGACTTTAGACAGTTTCTCCAGAGCTCACAGGTAAATCAGCCAAGTTATTCTGGATATTCCGGTAGTTGTTTCCAAAATGATAATGAAAAAGGTTCAGATATGGCATGTCTGAAATATACAGCCTTTGTATTAAAGTATAAAAAATCACATTGCTTTTTAATGACAAAATAAAAGATAATATGGAGATAAATAATGATTTAATAATAGCTTACTTTCATTTCTTGTCCTAAATGCGCTCAGACGTTCGTAAGCAAAGCACGAGGATGGGTGGTTTGCTGAGTCAAATCTTTTCTTTTAACCTCAATACTGCAATTCACCTCACGGCCTTGCATATTATTACAGCTTTGTTAAAGTAAACAAAAGAAAGTACAGCCATGTCTCCCCCAGACTCGGCTGAAAAAGAGAGGTAAAAACAGCACAAGGACTTGTCGAGTAAAATCATTTCATGGAAGCAATAAAGTGGAGTGGATTTTGGCAAAGCCCTCTTTATCCTCTGAGGAGAACAATATCACAGACAGCTTTGTAGGAAACTCTTTCCCATGGAGACTGCATTCCCCTCACTTCTCTGTAACCCGGCCCTCATTAGCAGACACGCATACACATTTACTATGCAGTTGGCTAATTTCAACACAGGTGGAGGTCAGGGGCATTATTTCCACTACATGGGTAGACAGGTCCCGTCAGTTCAGTTTAGTAGCATTTCCTAAAAAAAAAAAAAAGAAGCATATTCCAGTCTGCTGATAATTTGACAAATAATTGTTACATAAAGACTCAGCCTAGCAAGACACATTTGACGCTAATAAAAAGAGATTTCCTCCTATAACTTCCTTCAACTCGACATCATTTGCAGTGTATCAGGATCTAAGTCCATTTAAAGCCTATAATTTAGATTCTGGGAATATTTCCCACCATGCAGGTGTAACTTCAGGTCTGTCATTCCAGGCCACATAAGCTGGGGGAGAAAGTAACCATTGGAAAACTCATAAGCAGGAGCTTGAATGTTCTTTCCCCTTTGATCTTGACAGCTTGTGAAAAAGTAAATGCACTTTACCTTGCTGATCATCTGTATTGATATAAAAAAGGACCATGACACAGTTTAGCATTTGATATTGTAATTAAAAAAAACAGTTATAATAAATTAAAAGTGAAAGATAGTATGCCAGAGCAGCAAACGAAACAGGATCTCTTACTGGACTCACTGCTGTTGTGTACGTGTGACCATCATTTGACCATCACCTGATGTCATTGAAGCCAGTCCATCCAACATTGTGAGGGACACCGATTGTCAACTCCCTAGGCTATTACCGATAAGCAGATCCTTTTCATGCATAATAAAGCAAGTCATGATGGTGTCAGAAAACGAACGTGTGCACATAAAAACTTTCCCGCTCTAGATATGATCGTGACAGAGGGAAGAATCGGTTACCTTCTCCTCAAACTCCTAGAGTTCAATGAATCCTAGCAGAAAACAATCTGTAGCAATAAATGCAGGACTCTGTCACATTTCAGCCCGTGTCTGCACACACGTTCACACTTACATGCACACAAACCATGACCTGTAAACGGAGTAGGTTTTGCCATCTCGACACCCCTACTAGATCTCCATTGGTGACCTATTCTGTGACTAACTGCACACAAGCCAAAACAGATCACATGCAGAGGCTCAGCACACGTTGCATCAGCCTGTCCACATATGGCAATCGAATATATCAAGAGATCATGTTATTTTAAAAGGTGGTTCAGGCTTCCAGCTGTAGGGGAAACCACAGGACGGAGTTGACACAGTGGCTACTCTGAGACACTGCTCAGACATCATCAGGCTTCACAGAGGACGACTGGGAAATCTACATGGATGCAAGGGATCTCCAGCTTTATAATTCCCTGCAAGGACACAAAAGAGAGAATTATTTGGACTGATAGTACAGAGAGCTGCTGTTGGCGAGAAGAGCAAATAGTTTAGGGATTATAATTTCCTCACCTGAGGTGTTAGGTTTTTTTGGATCCTCTTCAGCTTGGCTTTTTTACGTCCATTTTTTGTCACAATTGTCTCTTCATAGAACTCATGGGCCAAGTCGCCGTCTTCATCAAAGTACATAGAGCTGCAGCAGAGAGACTGAATTAATGATCCGAACATGTATAATATGTCTGTGTGTATCCAATCTTTCAGGAGAGGTTGTTGACAATATTACAAGATATACTACAAATATCACACAACGTACAGTATGATGACGTGAATATCAAACATTATTTTCACATACACTGTATTTGGTTCCACACAAAAAGAGTTACTCGATGAAGTAGCCACTAAAAATACACAACCAGGGTGTCTAGACCACAAACGTGTGAGCATTATAAAAAAATAAATAAGATGTTTAGATTGTATATGCCGTGGCTCCGTCAGTGAACCTCCTTGGCATTTTGGAAATGACACAATGTAGTTTACCTAAAATAGTGTAAGAACTCAAAACATTCAGTCAGCTGTCTTCCTGTGGGTAAAATGCCTGGTTTTGAAAAGCCAGAATAGTATGGTAAGCAAACAGCTCAGCACAACAGTGGTGCATATAAGACCACAGCATATTATATTAAGGCAGCAGAACACTATGCCTGTGTCCACTCATGTAAAACAAAAAACAAGTGGAGTGAAGATTGAGTAGACACATTAATGTGGACACTGGCTGAAGGAATACATATCACCTGATCTGTGAGTCCTGGTTTATGGTATAACACACCAGAAGATTGGTCTGAATGGTTTTGCAAACAACATAAATGTATGGCTCCATTTTGCCCAGTGTCAACCACACAGGCTGAATATGTGGGGATGTGTTATGTGCAAACACAGGTATGTCCCTAAATCGTCTTTTTAACAAATGAGCACATAATAAACCACGTCATAAAATATTCTCAAGCCTTGACCAAGAGCAGTAGTCACATTGGCTCACTCCAATGACCTTCTTCACAACCACATTACAGCCTAATAGTAATCCTCAGATATTTAGGATATTTTATCAGATATTTAAAGCATGTCTGCATTGCCACAATGGCAGGACATGAGCGATACCATCACATCAATGTGGAGCTATTTTCTGTGGAACATTCTGGACACAAAGGGGACAGGGACATCAAACTATAATCTAAATACTAAGAAGAATATAAATATGGGTATTTATGTTGTTGTAAGACAATATGGTTAGTCTATATCAGTCTACTATAATACCTGAATAAGGTATGATGAAGGCTACTTCCTGCTGAGGGTATATTTACCTTTTTCTAGTTAACACAAAAGGGGTTACACTTGAGAAACTCCGAACTTTCGCCATGAACTGCTCGTTTCCATCTTTGGTTGGATCGTCCGTACTACCTGAGCCAGAAAAAGGCCAAAATCCTTTGGATTTGGAGCCGCTACCCCCCATCTTCAGCTGCAGCACATTATTTTCTTGGGTCACTCGACTGCCAGTGGTGTTACAGTGTTACTGTACCAGATGAAATGTGTCCTTTAGAATATGAAACCTATGAAAAGAGACACATGAAAGGGGGGAGTTGAGTCACTTTAGACAAGAAAAAAAACACAATTAAAACCCTATTTATCAGCTGATGCTGACAACACAGTTCCCTGTGGTCAACACAAGTGATACTACTGACAGGGACAATAACTCTACTCTATCTTGCATATGAAAAAGAAAACAAATACTGCAACACCTGTGCATTTGCACTTATATCCAGTGCAAAATGATAACGTTACGTTAGATGTCATTATTCTATGGACAGCAAGTATATATTGCTTATAGCTAACACGTAAGTCAAGTCCCAAAATGATGTTAGGTTATAATTCGAGTCATATATGCAAAATATAACGAGCAGACCAGTTAACGTCACATTACAGTGTTAGCTATATGTTAAATCACAGTATTTTAGAGCAACACACAGCCTGCCAACGTCGCAAACATGCCCACTCTTCTGCGTCCTATTATTATCAGGTATTTGTATGTGAAAACGAGAAAACACTGAATGACGTTAGTCGGCTTTGTAGTAAAGAGGGCTCGCCACCATTAGCATAGGTTATCTGGACAGGACGGCTAACGCTGCTAGCTAGCTTTGACCGACAAGACCATTAAGACGTTGGTCCTGCGTGCGTTAGTTACAGTGGCTGTTATGTCACTTTATGTCCTGGATACTAACATCGCCGTTAGCTAAAGACAGTCAGTTACTCCGTTATTAGCATTAGCCAGGTCAACATGTTCTTATCTGGTTTACAAAATAACGTTTTAACGTCACTGACGCTGCACAATGCTACCGTTAGCAGGTTTAATGACGTCTGTCGCTTCCGCTTAGCTTAGTTGAAAACATACCTAAAGTGTGGTTTGATGTGTTCGCAGGTCTGAAATATTCTTTGATGAATTTGTCTCGGTGGGTTGCTAGCTAAATCTGTACAAGATAAGACACACCGCTAGGCTAGCTGTTTATGCTAACAGACGTTATCCTTCTTTGCCGGCTTGTACAGAGATGATGGCGAGCTACCGCCACCACATGGACCGGAGGGTGACATTAGAAAACTACCAAGGAAAGACAGACGCTAGAATGTACTGAACAGGAGTAAAAATGTACTGACAACTCACTGCCTACTCCCCCGAACTAGACATTGAAAGAGAACAGTCTTAGCAAATCTCTGCCTCTAGCCCAGGTTCCAAAATCTTAAGGAAAGCCTCCCCAAAAGAGTGGAGGCCGTTTCAACAGCATATCAGTGCCCTTGGTTTTGAATGATATACAGTCTATCAGAGTTAGTAGGCTACGCCTGTATCATGACATCAATGACAATGACATCAAAATACACCATGATTTATTATCATAAGTTTATTAGATTGTTATAACGTATAAACACATCGTTTCATATTTTTAACTTGCTCAAATCCATCTCACATGTTCATTAAAGTGCCAGAAATTTTAAAACATCTTCACAGAATATAATAGAAACTAAATATCAATATCACATATAAATATAAATGACCACAGAAAAGACTAAACTTGTGTTTTTAGTACCACTATAAATAATCCAGAAAAGCAGCTTGGTTTTTCAAGAAAGAACTGCATCCAATTAAGTCCAAGATAATCTACTGTTTCCTCCATTCAGTTCAAAAGTTAGCAGGGCCTAAGCCTTTATGTAGATCACATTAAATGTAACAGCAGTGCTTCATGAACATGTATTCAAAACAATGCCATTGTCTGAGCTCTTTTCTTCCCTTTTATATTGGTAATCAACAAAGTGGCCGAACGTTCTTCTTGATGTTTAAATATGAAGCTCAATTGAATCAACGTCAACCAGGAGTAGTGATCCGTGCCACGGCCTGCTTCATGGTGTCTCTAGCAAGACTGTAGCGCTTCACAATCTGCCGGACATGCTCTTCTTCCTCGCGCTTCAGGATTCGCAGAAAGTTGCACAACTCAGGAAAGCTGAATGCATCCCACTGTGGAGGAGAGGAATCTCACATTAGAATCTGTTGACTGACTATTTCTGTGTATATTACCTTGTCTATCATATGAATAAATTCTCAGATCCAAATGGATACTTACATTTACTTCCCCTGTTTCATTCTCTTTCAAAACCAGACTCAAGACTTTTTCACTGGGGCCAGCACACAAGCGCAGGTAGAGGGGGAACTCATCATCAGGCAGTTTACGCATGTACACTAAAGGAAATAAAATCCAGCCCTTACACATACATTACTTAATACTTGTTTATGTTTTGTTTTACAATAACAGCACATTATTGAGGATTTTACCTTGACTTTGTCTCTCAGCGCGTTCAAACAGGGCGAACTTGGCCGGGTTGTCCACCACGGTGAACTTATTGAGCAATGCCTCAATGACTTCTCGCACATGTGTTTGGGAACTTATATGCAGGTGCTTGGCAGTGTCTTTGGGGAGGTAGAAGGATGTCCGCCGCTTCATAAGTCTGCCCTGCTGATCTTCCTCCTGTGTGGAGCACAGGCTATGAGAGGGAGGCAGGGAGACGGGACGGACTAACTGAAAGTGGACCTTGATGAAACCAGTGTAGGACCCATCTTTATTCTGCAAGTAAGAAAGATATACTGTATTGAAAGAATGGAAGTGAAATGTACCGCAAGCTATTCAATACTAATCAATCAAAATACAGTAGAAGTACACATTTGTGCATGAATGAATATTCTGAGAAAGAAAAGGTATTATTCACTCACAACTACCATGTAGAGGTTGCTGTTGATCTGTGCATTATACTCTTTAACCTTATGTTGAATCTCACAGACAGTCAACTTCTGTTTACCCCAATCGATCTGTTCATCCTAAAAAGAAAAGAGCAGTTACAGTACAGCAAATAGGCCACATGAAGTCAGCAGAAGGCTCGTCCTCACAAGTGAGCATTGAGGATGAAGAGGAAGTGACAGAGAACAGATGTACGTAAATAAAAGTCAAACCAATTCAAGCTTTTTGTCTGTGGTTACAAAATAAAGACATGATTTTATAGTTAAGCTCTGTGCTAATAGGACTGATGAATCATGCCATAGCCTCACCGCTGATCTTCTGATCTTGTGAAAGAAAGACGTATGTGCAGTAAAATACACCTCCATGTCTGAGCTACGGTCCTCCTGACTGCAAAATGTGTCACTTGCTGTGCTTCCCCGAGTCATCTCCGTGGTTCAGAGGCGTTTCACTAGATTTTTGTCATCACCAAAATCTTAATTTCTGGAGTAGTAAGTCAGAATTTTCTTAGCTTTCCCCTGTCTCCCTCTCTCTCTCTCTCTCTCCCTCTCTCTCTCTCTCTCTCTCTCTCTCCCTCTCTCTCTTCTGTCAGATCAGATTCCGCTCACATCTTTTTTGACCTCAGTATTTCCATTTGCTCCTCCCACACAATAAAACCTCACAAAGATGTCTAATGGGCCATCTGCTCAAATCATCCTGAAAGCAACACTTTCTCCCAATGTTATTATTGATGTGTGCATACATATCAACATCAAACTGTAGTTTCCTATCATATATGATTTACCATATCACTAACTATAATTCACTATTCTGCCACTCCTTCATGCTGTGTTTTAACATAGTATGGTTAGTCAAGGATTTAGGGCTTCCAAAATCATGATAAATCAAAAGTTGCTAAATGTCCCATTTTATTTCTTATTAATATTGTCTGAGTGAGCTGAAAAACTGTCAACCAAACATTTAGTTATCTGATAACTTGTGCTGGACCTAGGTTATTTTGTGTGGCTCCGAAATAAAGACAGCTGCTTTATTGTGAAGTTGGTAAGCCCCCCCCCCCCTCAGCTTTCTCCTAAATTACTGGCATTGACAATGAGGAGGTAATAAAAACAGCATCCTTGAGGACATATGGCACACTGATACTCTGCAGTGGACAATCTGGTAGCCTCCATCTGCTTTGACCTATATACCCACCTAAAACAATCCAATGAAGACTGCTTTCTATACAAATGTACTATAAATAAAAGATGTGATTATAGCTTTACTCCTCACCACATTTGTGTCCGTCTCGAGGGAGTCAACAGAGAAATCTTCCTCGTCTGTTAACAAACTTTCATCTGTGCTGCAGTCCAGCTGGATGAATGGTCGGCAGCGGTAGTGACAAGTGTAACTGCAGTCTGAGAGAGAGAGAGAGAGAGAGAGAGAGAGAGAGAGAGAGAGAGAGAGAATTTTTGATTGTCTGCTATGCTTTGGCTAGTGGTCAATGCTTGTTGTGGATTTTCTTCAGTAATCGGTCCCTGTGCTGAAAAGCATCACCCAAAGCACAATAACCTAGTTGCATTATCTTAGGAACATGCCAAAATATTTGTTTGTACATAAAAATTGCGCATGTTTGATGTTTAATGGGATGTTAATTATAGGCCGTTATCACTCACAACTGTTTCTAAGTGCTACAGTAGTTCTTTTTTGATGAACTGGGAAAGAAATGCAAGTCAAATTATATAGACAAACGAATACATTTCCAGGAACTATCTGTAGAACATGAAGCTTGCCAGAGTTTCCTACAGATTAGGAAAACCTCTGAGATAAAGTTTCTCATGAATGGAGAAACAACATGAGCATCCTGCATTCTCCTGATACTGGAAAGTGAAGACACATCTCAGTTATTATGGGGTTACAGAGCTGGGCTTTAATTTGAGGGCATTTTAAGTCATTTCTGATAAGACTTATACCAGTGTTCTTTACCAACCTTGAGTAAGCAACTACAGTAGTTCACAATGTCTATTATCAAGCTCATATTCAGGAACATGATGCTTCAGGCAGACTGATAAACTGCACGTCCTTTTGTCTCATGCAATACATACAGTATTTAGTGGCTGGTTGAGTCTCTTTGCTTTGTAGGTCAATGGTTGCAGAAACAATATGCTCATCGTGTACACACCAAACATAAAGGACAAGGCTGCCGTTATTCTATTTACCTTATCGCTAAAATCAAATATACCACAATACTTTTTTCTAACCTGTCTCTGGCTCTCAGAGCCAAGCCCATTTGTTCCTACTAGAGACTTTAATAGTGTTCTCTAATATATACTTTCAATTTAAAATATGTCTTATTTTATTTACATGGATACTGTAGTTGTCAGCAAATGTTACAAACAGGAGTAAATGGTGAGTTTGTTGGGGACTATTTTCAGCCGTGGATTGAAACACATTTGGTGCTCTAATGACTATTTTTCGGTCTGCGGTGAATGTGGGCCTGGGTCAAAATAAACTGCAGTGCACATGTTGATGGATTAAAGGAACATGTCGCTCAGTACAATATTTACACTGATTGATATGCTTTTAATAGTTTTGGAATAGAGGTCATGGCACAGAGGAAAAACATAGAATATTACCAATCAAATCCACATGCAGAAGGTACTCACTGGCGCAGCGTAAACTTTGCTTGTAAACACCCCAGATGAATTCTCCACACAGGTCACACCAGGTGAGATGGGTGTGACTGTAGGGCTGGAAGTCATGACCCGCTCCAGCATCTCCTGTCTGACACCAGGGTGCCTCGATTCTGACGCTGTCTCCGAGCAGACGGACGACATGGAAGGGGCTCGGCTGAGCTGGGTTTGCAGGCGGCGGGGCTGTGCGGGCAGCAGGAGCAGCCAGCTCAATGGGATCATTTACACTTAGGTCCTTCAGCTCAATCAGCTCACATTTAGACATCGTGTCCCTGATAGAGACTCTGACATGTCAAGCGAACACTTGCTGTCCATGAGCCAGTATGGGTGGACACCCAGCAATGAGAGGAGACAGCATTATTATGTGCACCTCTGCATCCTTAATGAGGATGTGGTGAATGTCGTGCTCTGATTAAATGTACAGGTCGGTCCAGAGTGGTGCGTTGTGAAGAGGATTGGGTGGCTGTTAAGTCCTTCTGGGCTGCAAGACAGTTTAAAATCATACAGAAGTACAATACAATGAATACATGTATGAGTCAGTTCATCATGAAATAATCTGACATGTTTAAATCAGTTGAAGTAGAACATTGTTATTGTTATACCAACACATTTGGCTTGTGGCCTTCATCCAAATCATCATGTCATCAGGATGGCACTGATGACGGCCACAAGCCGGAACACATTGATCTAAACAATAAAGTTGTTCTATATAATACAAGTGTCGCTGGACATTTGACCTATTTTTCCCACAAGTTGTGCCAGAAACCCCCACTTTGCTTCTACATTTGAATACATTTAAATTCAAGCAATAACACTCATAAAACCACTGTCTACACTGTTCTGGGTTATGGGCTTGACAAATGGAAAAACAAGAGATTAACTGTTGTTATCTGATGCCAGGATTTGTATGATTATAGTAAAATACGGGACAAGATGACTGCTATAATCCTGTGCAATCCTGGCACAACTCGTACTTTTTTTCTGTGAGACACTGAAGCAAAACTATAATTGTGGGCCAAAAACATTTTATTTGTTAAACTCAGAAAGTACAGAACTGATATTATTTCAGAACTAAATGACAACACAATGGAAGTAAAAAGTCAACAGCCATGGTTTTAACATTTTAAACATACATAATACTATGTATGCATGCATTAAAGCTGCTGAGTGTGTGACACACAGTGGAGGAATGTGTACTCATGTACTGTACACATTTAAGGTACTTGCACTTCACTTGAGTATATACATTTTATGCTATTTCTACAGTTTATTTTATATCTAGTAAATTTGCAGATTGAGATTAGAGCCGGAAAACATAAAAACATATTGGTAAAGTATATGAAGCATTGTTGTACATTAAACTATGCAGCAGCGTATGACGTTACCCTCAACCACTACAACATTAATAATGCTGTTAATGAATCAGTGATGATAAATCAATATAATTAATAACACACATGCTACTATAACACTGACACACTGGTCACTCTGCTGCACAATGAGTACTTCCAGTGAAATGTTACATATTTTGCTGATACTTGTGTACATTTACCGAAGGAAGACTTTGAATTCTGGTCTCTTGTGCAGGGATTGCTATGCAAACACTGACAGCAGTAGAACTACATTCTGCTGTGGTGTCACTGAGAGGAAATGTTCACAGGTGCACCAGATACTAGTTTCAGATAGTTTCATTAGTTTCTCCGTGGAGCTGCACTGTGACTTGAATATGAACAACCCGGGGCTCTAAATCTGCCAAGTGGGTCACCACACGGTGCAATTATCCACACAGGGCAACAATGTAGCCTTTACGGGATCATCCATGCAGATTCTGCTGGTTTCGTCATAAGATATTTGAATGTGAAACTATGCATTAATGGCTCGATCTATAAAGTTTCTGATTATTCGTCTTTAATCTGCGTTTGTCATTTGTTGCAGGGTGCAGCCCAGTCTGTAACGGGACAGCCCGGTTTAATCCTGTCCGAAACGAGGCGACAAACTCAGTTGACAGTGACACCCGAACGAATGTTCGGATTTGCTGACAGACAAATCGTTGAAAAAATGACCTTACCTCGTTTAAATCACCATCGCCATTTATCACAGAGGAGATTTGGAGAGTGAACGCAGTTTTTGTTGTTTGATTTAACACCGAGCTGTCCCTCTTCCTTCGCACGCACTTCAATTTGCGCATGCACATTGTGAGTGCGGGATTACCTTCTAATCCCGTACAGTAGGCGATGTGTATTAAACCATCCTGGGCTGAGGCACCACAAGGGGAACCCGCTGTGTTCTCACACACTGTGAGTATGTGATGGAGTGGTCAGTATAAAGGTATACTACACTAAACATGAAATGTAGTTTTCTGGTAACACTTTATAACAAGGCATCTATGATGTGGTTAATATATAATGTTGTAATGATTTGAAGATCATTAATAAACCATTCATAAAAAACACTTTTATAACAATATTTATTACTGCAGACTTTAGGGTTTTTCAGAATGTATAAAGAATATTTCCAACTGTATTATTGTGTTATTACCAACGGATAAACCATGGACAGAAAGTGTTGTAACAAGTTTATCTCTCTCTTCCTCTCTCTATATATATACACACATGCACATATAGAGTGTGAAAAATAAAATAATATATCTGTATATTTATATATATGTATACAGTATACATATATATAAATATACAGATATTTTATTTTATTTTTTCAGACTGATGTAAAGATTTCAGACTGATAGTAACTGTAATGTGTTTGATTTCCTAATGAATGGCACTATTGATCAGTCTGAAACTGAGCGAGGAAGTCAGTTTGGAATGAATAGACTGTTCAATGTTTAAAGGGCCATTTGGAGATCCCTCAGTGGGGAAAAAGGCCTCCAGGCTTAAATATGGGGGCAGATGACGAAGGGCCCTTCTTATCTCTCTCAAGCCAATATGTTGGAATACCATGAGGATTACACAATCACTCTAATTTTCTTATTTTCTTCACCGAGTTGATTCAACTCATTCTAATAACAATTCTAATAAAATTCACTTGTACTGTATTTCATTAAGTGAAGTTAATATGCCCTGGACAATCTAAGACGTCAAAGTATTTTTGAAAACAAAAACATGTTGAAAAGTAGTGGTGTAATGTAAATACAGTCAAATAATCAACTAAGTAATACTGCAATTAAGTACGATATGACAAAGAGAGGGATGTCCTGAATGAGCATGTTGTTGTTTGTTTGCTTTGTATGCTCAGTATGGGCAGGCTCTGTAGAGTCACACGCTTGTGAGAGAGTAATTGGAGCACAACTGACCACTGAATGTTGCATGTGAAATGGGTGGTATTAGTCCGAGACATCACACCAGCCGGCTCAGACCAACAACATACACCCAAACTGACTTGTGGTAGTTTGAGATTTTTCGAGTTAACCATTTGAATGCCATCGGAATGAATACACTTTTCTTGTCAACTCTGTGCCTGCAGCTCCGGGCTTGATGCAACTAGGAAAAAAAAGTGTTTTCCCTAAATGAATATGGGAAATCTGTCCCGGAGCAATCCACGTCAGCAAGGCTGGAGTTCACCATCATAAACACAGGGGATATCCGGATATTCTGATTTCAGAATAAAAGCGTAAACAAGTATTTATTTGTATTAAAAGAGATATGGACTCATTGCTACTGGATTCCTATCCTCCTACAATAAAAAAAAAAATGGAATAATATTCGTTGGGCTGTGTGAGGGATTGTAAAATCACTATCCAGATGGAAAAGTGCCACCTCAGTGTTGTCCCTGAGAACAAAACTCTAATGATGTATTCCTTGTTAAGTAGTAATGAAAGGTGTGTGTGTGTGTGTGTGTGTGTGTGAAGTTTAAAGGCCCCACAACCTCACACAGGTGTTTTCACTTATTCTGGCTGTATAGACTTCTGCTCAGGTTGAATTATGTTTGGTGGATAGCCTTTATAGTCTTTTGAGTGACAGTGGATTGACACTATAACGCTTTATTCTGAAAATAACTAACCGGATGTTTTGTTATTTTCTGTCCAGTGATGTAACGTATAGCACATTGGACTTCATTCACAGTTATAAAGATCAGTGAATCGTTATGTTACCGCCATGTGACAGTTATCTGTATATGTAGGACTCTGCTATTAAAGTCCCGTCTTCTATCTTGAAAACCAACAACACTTAAGCACGAGGAGGCAACGGTAACGCTTCATTAATCACCACTTCCGCTTCTGTTTAGCTTAAACTATACGAGTTCATTTTAGGTGACAACCTGTGGTACAGGTACAGTCGGACGATTGCTGTTGAACTGCTCAACTCCACATACACTTGTGTTTAATATGGTCTACAACAAAGAGACTGGGTCCGAGCCTCGGATCTACGGCTGTACCAGAACAGCTTCCGCACTTCTGTCCCACTGTATCTGCATCGGCTTCACTGTGTTCATCGCAGTCCTGTCTCGACCGGGTACAAGTGAGTGCTCTTAGTATCATCTGGTACATGGTTGTGTGTTAGTTGTTGGAATACCATTTGTTGATTTGATTTGTTTGTTTGATGTTTGTTTTATTTTAGGTTGGTTTTCCTGGCATCCTTTCTTCATGACACTAGCTGTAAGTTGAAAGCTTTCATTATAAATCTTTTTCAGCTGTTATAAGTGGATTAATAAAAATAATATCAATATTCATTCATTTTCAAGTCAAACTGCATGTTTCTCAAGCATGCAATTTGCAATTTGAATATGTAAACTTGGGCTTTAGGAAATTGTGATGGACCTTCTATATTTTATAGACCAACAGACGAATCAACAATAACAGTGAGTAGCTGCTCCATTTATTTATGTTCTTCCTTTCCCATTAGTTCTCCTTCTTCATGACAGAAGCCATACTTCTTTTCTCCCCCCATGGCTCCCCGTTGAAAAGGTTCTCACACAAGACAAAAGGTCGTGTTCACGGGATCCTGCAGGGCCTCTGTGCGTCCTGTGCAGTCCTGGGTCTGGCAGCCATCTATTATAACAAACACCTGAACGGGAAACCCCACTTCACCTCGTGGCACGGTGTGCTGGGCCTGCTCACGGTGAGTGTGGTGGGGCTGCAGTCTCTGGCAGCAGTGCCTCTCATCTACCACTCCCTGGCCAAAGGCTGGTCCCTCGCCAAACTCAAACGCTACCATGCAGCAACTGGAATGGTCACATACCTGCTGGGCAGTGGCAGCCTGCTCCTCGGCCTCAGCTCTGCCTGGTTTACTGGATCAGTGGGGGAATACACCTGGTACCTGTCAGCACTCTGCTCGGCTCTCAATGCCCTCGTCATAATGAACCAAGTGAGCAGCGCGTACACGGCTAAGAAACGGCTGCAGTCCTGACCGAAGACACTCAAAACACTCACTGAATACTTGTGCAAGTTTTGTCCCGTAGATTTCATTACTCACATAAAATCAGTTTGGTTTCCATGAAAGTTACAAAGGAACTGGTGTCTGCAGCTGCACGCCTCGTTGAAGGTTATTAAGCACCATGTGTCAAATGTGGATAATTAATTTTTCTTTTCTTGCTTTTTTTGGATTACATACACAGAACCATTGAGAACACTTGAGGTCAAACATTTGTTTTGTTCTTTCAAGGATTTTGTTTATTTTCTAGGTAAAATGACACAAGGGATTTATTTTATGACCAAATACTTCCAAAATTAATGACATTCCCATCAGCCTCTGCTGTACTTTGATTTTAACACCAATTGTTAGCACGCTAATATGCTGAATTAAACTGGTGAATATAATACCTGATAAAACTCAGAACCGCATTTTGCAAAGCAGTGAGCTGCTAGCACGCCTGTAGATTGTTTTAGAAAAAGGATTAAAATTTGTGCCTAAAATACATAAATTAAAATAAAGCGGTTCATATTCTCTACAGCAAACTGTGCAGTGTGAAGGTTTTAGACCATCATATTGGGAGATATTTCTAAAACCCTTCCTATCGCCTTGAAAGTGTTGAACTATTGTATCTCAGGTTGCTTATCCTGCCTTTTGACTATTTATGTTGCATGTTGTAAATTAAAAGAATTTGTAAATGATTCACAATGCAATAGAAGATTGTTTTATTGTTAAAATAACATTGATAACACAGTCATATTCTGCTTCGATCTAGGCTGCATGTACGAAATTCTTACTGAATCAGCCGTCAATGGGTCAAAGTGAACAAAACGTTAAAAAAAAATGTAATTACAACAAAGAATGTATTTTCCATTATAAATAAATTTCGGACGCTTACATTGAAATAAGGGAGACAACTGGCAATAAGAAGTTATATAAAAAACATTTGAAAAAACTGAAATATTTCCATGAAATAAAAATGCACGTAATTGACAAATGGCAGACAGGTTTTTATAAATTGACGATTCCCAAGATTCAAATGCAAAAGGTATCCAACAGATCAAAAAGACATGGCGTCAATATGATGTACCTCGTACAGTTCACAAGCAGATATGATCCATTAAGTACCAGCTCCACCTTTAAACCTGAAACAAACCATCACAAGTTCCCCAAACATGCTGAAAAAAACCTCCATCTTCCTTGATAGAAATGAAGCGTTCAGAACAGGGAAAGAGCCAGTAGTAACAAAAAGTGAACAGTGGGAGCAAAATCGAACTTCATAGGGAATGATCAGTTGTCTCAGGTTATCCAGTATTTTCTAAAAAGTTAACAACCACTGCGTCTAACCTATTTTACAGACAAAGGAGAAGGGCTTTCCTAAATCGACATACCTTGAGGTGTCATCACAACACAGAGACACAAGGCTACAGAGTACAGCAAAGACCTAAACTCCCTAAAGCACCGCAGACCGACACTACTGACAGAAGCTACGTACACTGCACTGCTTTTACAGACGCTACCACGCGATGGCACTGTAATTTCGGTAAAGGCCACCGCACCACCGGACCTGGTTCTGCAACAGTCACAGGTGTTTGTAGGGAAATGTTCGCTGTCTGTTTTGATGGTTGGTGGCTACATTGACTGAAGGTTTTAGACACTCAGGCTGCATGAATGCAATGTTTCCTACAGTTTAGGTAACATTTGTTCTCATAAGAAAATTAGGATCATCAAATCTTCATGTAGGGCTGTCTGATGGTGGGGACACTTGAGTAAAAAAAACTGCAAAGAAAAGCGGCAACTGACCAACATGAAAACTTGCTTTCTTCTCCTGTTGCCTTCCACACAACGCTGAATCTGCCCAACACGTGTTTGGAGTTTCACACCGACTGTCTAAATGCTCCGTAGTTCTTCCAACAGATTTGTAAAAAGGATGTACCAAGATGAATGCTCCAGACTCAAGACCCCTTTGTGTTATTTAAGGCTAAAAATGAAAGAACACAGTCCGAATCCTCGTGTTATGAAAGGCTAACATGAAAGTACATTCACTTTAGTTTTAAGGGGGAAAAAAAGAGGTAAATTATAAAGTTGAACATAAATTTGTTTCACTAGCATCAATGCGAGAGCGTGTTTATCACCACGATAGTCGCTGTAATAACAAAACCATCTCCCTCCAACCAAAATCTACACATTGCACAGTATTGACTTGCAATATAAACAACGATAATGATGTTATTTACAAAGTATCAACATGTTCAGTTACAGTATCACACATACAGGGGATGCTACAATGTCTATCAAATTGCTAAAGACTAAAATATGCTCTGAAAGCCTAAGATCTCTGTTGCTGAAGGTAAGCCTCCAAGGATTTTCTCTAAATATATAATGAAGTGGATTTTGACGAATATTAACACCACGCTCTGGAGCCACCGTGAGTTGTTTATTGTGTTGCCTTCCGGTATCGTTTAGTAGAAAAGGAAGAGTTGATCAGTGCTCAGCAGGTGAGCACTGCTGACAGGTGAAACAGTTGGTCAAATTTTGGTTTGCACTAGACCGTTTCACAGCAATGTGGATAAGACAATCCAACAAGAAGCAGTCATCACATTATTCCGTTTGAATTCGGGGGAAATAAAAGGAACAGCACTGAGAGGCCTCGCAGTGGAGGCTGTGCTTAGAAAGAGTCAGCTGGTCCCCGACAACAGTGGTCTGTTCCGACGCTCCAGCTGAACAACTCTGGGATATTCAGCATAAGGATTTGTTACTCTGACTTTGTAAAGTCATTAAGGTACAAGTTGATTCTCTCAGTTGCAGGTGAGAGTCTATCCGTGTGTGTGTGTGTGTGTGTAGTTTAATGAGACCATTCGGAATGGGAATGCAGCTAATTTGATGAACAGCAAGGCCGAAACACATTTCACTGAATAGTTATTTTCTAACTTCATCGTGATTAAAGGGGATAGTTTAGTTCCTGAAAAGTTCTATTTATCTGATTATTTTCCTCTTGTCCCTACTTGCGTTCTGATGTGCTCACATATTCAGAACATCACAATGCATCTGACCGTCAATGATCCGTTTATAGGTTAGGGTAGATGCTGTAACAGAATCTATTTAGTTCATTTAGTAAACGTGTAATCATTCCCATTCCTAACTTATGTTTGCCATGATTGATAAAACTGCCACTCTACTGTCCCATCACCTCTATGACGTCGTCATCAGAACTACTGCCGCCGTTCTCTGCACTCTGATGCATGTCCTGCTGAGTCAGCGCGGCCCCCAACAGGCTGGAAGTGGGATTGTTGAAGTGGGAGAGGAAACTGGATGCAGCAGAGCTGGAGTTAGACGTGGGGAATCCCCCTGACCCGGAGAGGAGAGAGGTAGGATACATCCTCGGCTCAGAGAGCAGCGACTGACTGTAGTTGAGAGGGAAGCCGGATGACAGCAGTCCGGCCATGTTGGGATTCATTAAGTACGGAGGCAGAGAACCGGACGCCAGGGAGGAAGAAGTGGCTGCCGAGGCTGTAGATGACATGGGGATGGTGGTGGAAGCGGAGGAGAAAACGGTCGGCAGAGAGGACGAGGAGGGGCTGGGAAGGTGTCCGTTTCCTGTGGCAGACTGTCTCAGTAGGTCCGAGCCTGCAGAGGGGAACATGGTCTGTAGGTCAGCCAGGGTTTGTCCCGGCGTCTGAAGGAATGACGATCCACCGCTACCACCCATCAGAAGTGGATGACTCATGGGACCTAGGTTCCCCAGTAGGGAGGAGGAGTTCAGACCCACCGGGGGATAGCCGAGCCCACTGGAGCCCATGGACAGTCCAGGGAATCGAGTTGCAGCAGAAGTGCGTTTGCCTCCCATTTGTGTGTTGCCCTGGCTTTCAGTACTCCTGCGCTTGCTGCCACGCATCTCTAAAACCGAGCTCAAGAGGTCGTCGCTGAGCTGCCTGTTGAGATCACCGGCCTGATTGTTTTGCGAACTGCCTTCACTCCCCGCTGTTATAGCCAACATTTCTGACGGCGATGGCAATTCATTCCCCATGCCGGCAGCGGTGGCGTCACCCGTGGATGAAGCGTAGCGGCTGAGCTCTCTGAGAATCTCAGAGCTTAAGGGAGAGGAGGGCCGCTGCTCCCCGTTGGGGGAGCCCTGCTGTTGATCCACAGGCGAGGAACAGCCATTACTGAGTGGATGGATCAGGGAACCCTGGGTGTCTGTGGCGGAGAGAGAAATGCACTCGTGAAATGTCAGGAGACATGTACAGTGTCTCTGAATAATTCATGTTTGAAAAGGTCAATCCTGGAAATAAGATGGTGAAATGTGTCCTTTAATGTACAAATGCTGTAGAAACTAATAACCAACAGTAAGTCTTTGTAGTGTTTCCTCCTCTAAAACATTGTATTTAACGTACTGACGTGTTTAATGTGTACTCCAGATTAAGTATGTTACTTCCATACAGTTGGAGGGTTGTCAGAAACCATCAAATAAGGATAGTTCAAATGTGTGCAGCACAAGTTGAGGTATCCTGACTTTCACTCCGTAATAACTGTAAAGCGCTCAAATCCCTCCAAATTGATGGTGTCTTCCATCAGACACCTCCTAAATGCCCACATCTTTAAGACTCCACATTTTAAGGCTTTTTGTAGAAGTCTTTAAGTCTAAAGCCAAAACGGAGATAACCCTGATGACATCACTATGACATCATCTGGGGTTTTTCTCTGAAAGAAGACAGTAAACTGTTTTCACAGGTTGTATAGAAACTTCTTATGACAAGTAAACTGAACTTCATGTGTAAAAGAAGATCACCCTCATTGTTGTAAGACTTTAAAATGATACGGCAGGAACCAAGATGAATAAATATGACTTTGTACCCCTTGAAGCAGCCGAGCCCCCGAGTGCTGGCCGACTGAACTTTCCAGATCGAATAGCAAAAATCCTTCCATCGTTTGTCCTAATGTAGGTACCTGTGGTGGAGAATACGTCAAGTGATGGACTCGGCCGTAACTCAAAATGCTTTGTATGAAGAGAGAAATGACTGCGTTGTTGCAACTACCTTTCGATCCTCTGATGACATGGATGCTCTCTCCTGCACTAATTCGAGCTTGAATATCTGTTGTGCTGTTGGCTCCTGGGATTACAATATCTGTAGATCCAAAACAAAAATGGCAGCTGTTATCGCCTGGTCACTACATGTCACAAGAAATAATTCATTTTTGTTTCTATTGAAAGATTAAATGGTGTATTCAAAATGTAACATTTCAGGGTTGGTGTGACACATTCACTGATTTAAGCGTTTCAAATATTATACATTACCAGTTGAGGTGACAATTCTCTGCACATAAACTCCGGCTTTCTGCAGGAAGTTGACGGGCAGGCTGCCGGCAGCGCTGGAGCCAGCAATGCCCATGCTGACCTGGCGAGGCATCATGGGGATTGGGGTTGACTGGATGGGCCTGACACTTGCCACAGGCTTGTCATCTGGCCGTGCCATGGGACGCCTGAAAATAGGAGGGCTGAACTCATGAGACGCTCTCTCTCTCTCTCTCACTCACACTCACACACTCACACACACACACACACACACAAAACAGTTTTCTCTAGTCTGATGGAAATTTATTAGAAAAAGAAGATAAACTCACATAGAGCTACAATCTCAAAGAAAGCAACAAACTTAATGGTGGTTTAAATTTGGACGCCTGTTTTTGCCAGTAAGCAGTGAGATTCCTCAATATGTTCGTGGAGGAAAGTGTAAATTGTAAATGCATTGCATGACAGAATATCAGGAAAACACAGCTGGTTAGTTTGTAGTTGTAGCTGTGGAGCTAATGGTTTACATTGAAACAAAACATTAGCATCTGTGAGCCACTATGCAAACAATTAAATGAGATACATAAAATGAATGCAAGCTAAAATATGGCGTGTAAAACCCACCAGCCGCGTTGGTTGAATGCTGGTATGTTTGTGAGCGTCTGATCACTGGTTGGGTAATAAGGGGCGTACGAGGGGCGCGAGTAGGGCACAGAGGCTCGTTTCTCCTCCTCGTAGCTCTTCTTGGCGGCTCTCTTCTCGGCTTTGGTCAGTTTCGATTCCTTCCGATCCACCAGCAGAGACTCGTGATGAAAAGGTTGCTAAGGAGACAAATGGAAAGAGGGAAATTAAATTACAGATCAACCGTCAGATTGGATTTTCCATTCAAGAGGCAGGTTGACGGACTTCTGCCCATTTCAGATAGAATTCCAGTTTTACTAGGTAAGCTGGGAAATGTAAGTGTTACTCGAATTTACGTGAGGTTTTCTTTTGGTAAGCGGTGAGGCATTTAGAAGTTTGTGTTTTTGTACTCTGCAGCCCTAGTATTGAATTATCAAATACCTAAATTCGAACATCAACCACAAAAACCTCTAGTAGGGTCTAGGCTTATACATTGCCGTTTAAAAGTTTGGCTACTCTATGTTTTGGAAATGTCTTTCATGCTTTTAGGTTGTAGAAAGTCTCTTTACAAATAGATGTTATTTTGTATGAAAGTTTTGCAAAAATAAGTCATGTAGATGGAGAACAAAATGCTGTACAACCAGACAAAGATCCCTCTGAAACAGTTCAACAAGAATAGAAGAAGTCACCAGTCAATCGAAAACAGAAGAACATCAACATAACAGGGGACATGGCTGTGTAAGTGACGCCCATCATGCAACTGTACCTTGGTGATGAGGTGTGGGTAAAGCTGACACGCTTGATGCATCACGATTTCAAATTCCTCCTGGGCTTCCAGAGAAATCCTTCCAGGTTCCTCTTCTACAAAATGCAGCAGCGAGTCCACTTCCTTACGAGTGAAGTTCAGCACTGGGTTCAGGTCATCAACCACACGGTCTTTAGACAAACACACAGACACAACATTTTAAAAAGGTCCTATGTTTTTTTTTTTTTTTTTAATAATCAAAGCAGGTCTAAGTGTGAAAGTATGGAAACGTCCAATCCATGGACACACTGCTCGCATTTAGAAAATGTGCCTTGAAAGTAACGGTCAGGATTTCAGTGTATTTCTTACCAGACATGCCCTGTTTGGAGACTTGTCGGTCATAAATCTTTTTCTCCAAGGTGAAATCACAGACGAGGCGGTAAATGTAGCAGGGTTTCTTCTGACCATAGCGATACACCCTGCACACCGCCTGAGCATCATGACACGGGTTCCAGGAGGCATCAAACACAACCACACGGTTAGCCCCAATCAGATTTACCCCCAAGCAGCCCGCTCTGAAAGGAACACAGCAAGTTATTGATAATATTTCAGTCAGTGAACACGGGAAGTGGGAAAAATGATTAGGGAGAAAAAAAAAAAAAAAAAAAAAAAAAGAGAGCAGCGACACACACCTTGTAGAAAGTAGGAAGACCCATGTTTTGGTGTTTTCTGGGTCATTAAACTGATTGATCAGTCGCTCTCTTTCTGAAGCAGATGTACTCCCATCCAGTCCTGTAGACAGACACACATTAGCTCTCAACACTGAAGCACCTAAACATGGTCATATTTTTCTTTGAATACTTAAGATATTTGAGATTTTTAATCCTGGACATTTCTATCAAATTCTTACGGGAGATTTATTAAAAAAAAAAAAAGACTCAAACAATATTTACAAAAAACAAACATTCGTGTCAAGAACTGCAAGGAATTGCAGCAATATTGATACTAAATCAATAAAGACCATCACAACTGTGAGGCTTCAGTGGTGATGACCACACTTCCTGCAGAGTTGAGTCTGCGTACAGGCGGGAGGTTGAACAGCTGGTCCTCTGGTGTAGTCAGAACAACCTGGAGCTAAACAAGCTCAAAACTGTGGAGATGACAGTGGACTTCAGGAGGAGCCCCCCAACACTACCCCCCCTCACCATACACAACAACACTGTGTCTGCTGTGGAGACCTTCAAGTTTCTGGGATCCACAATCTCCCAGGACCTGAAGTGGGCCTCCAACATCAACACCATCCGGAAAAAGGCACAGCAGAGGTTGTACTTCCTGCGCCAGCTCAGGAAGTACAACCTACCTCAGGAGCTGCTGATCCTGTTTTAGTCAGCCATCATCCAGTCTGTTCTCTGTTCCTCTATCACTGTGTGGTTCGGATCAGCCACCAAACAGGACAGGAACAGACTGCAACGGATTGTCAGGTCTGCAGAGAGGATCATTGGTTCCAGCCTGCCCTCCATCCTGGACTTGTTCACCTCCAGAGTCAGGAAACGGGCTGGAAAGATCTCTGCAGACCCCTCACACCCTGGACACAAGCTGTTCCACCTCCTCCCCTCTGGTAGGCGCTACAGAGCTCTGTACGCCAAGACCACCAGACACAGGAACAGCTTCTTTCCACTGGCCATCACTCTCATGAACAATAAATAAGTTATACTGCACTATTACCACCACTTCTAATTCATGCCATTGTCTATAGGTTTATGTTCACATATGTGTGTGTGTGTGTGTGTATATATATATATATATATATATATATAGTCTTGTTTATTGTAAATTTGTGTTTGTACATTGAGAGCGGAGTGGAAACCGGAGACAAATTCCATGTATGCGTAAGCATACATGGCCAATAAAGCTGATTCTGATTCAGAGTTGCTGTTTGGGAGAGAGAAGAGAGAGAACAGATTGGATGACTCACTGTAGTAATTGAGATTGCGAACCCAGTTTTGGCTCTGGGCGTCAGAGGAGGCGATGCCTGTCGGCATGGGTCTCTTTGCTAAGAAGTCCTCAATCACCGTCAGGGTGGACAAACTTTGACTAGAAGGGAAAGAGCAGAAACAGATAAGCGGTAAGAAAAGTACACTTTGGTATGGAATGAATAAACCTTATGAAATAAAGTGACTGCAGTGTTGTTACTCAAAGTAAGGAGGTACTATTAATCAGTCAGATGTACTGCTGTATGTACATGTAGGACTACAAACAACTAGGAAATGTGTTCAATTAAAAGGTCATCATTTTAGTAAACTATGAAATTCCTGCTTACAGGAGTAACCTGGAAGAGAAGCAGAAAACCTCACACAGTGTAGGAAGATTAAAATATGAATTTCCTACAGTTTGTAAAAACCTCTGAAAGCTCCAGAAGTCTGATCTAATAAGCTGAAATGCAAAGTCAGTCTCCCTCGTCTCTAAGCCGCTTAATGGTGGTTAACACAATGTACGCTGGACTTACCTAAAGATCAACATCTTGTCTCTTCTTGCTACACACTCATCAATCAAGTGGAAGAGCAGAATCATCTTGGCAGAGTTCTCCAGAACTCCGGTGTGGTAGTTTGACATTATGCCCTTTGCCTGGAACATAGAATGTAGAGGTTGAATTAAGACCTCAGGTCTCTATACGGACATGACGACTAAGATTACATATTGGTATAGCAGACATATCGGCACTAAACAATGTAGTAAACATTTCAATATTCAACATTTTACGAGCTTGAAACAAAAATCGAACAATAAGTAATCTTTTAGCTGTAAAACTGAGCCCAGAAGACAACAGCTTCACATTAACTGTCATGACATACCCATTCATATGTGATGACTTGATTGGCTCTTTCCTGGGAGACGTTGATTAGCGGCAGGGCGTTGTTGACTTTGCTGTTGCTCGAGTCGGCCACTTTGGCTTTTAGGCCTGCAGGACAGCGGATGTCATCAAGGTCCAGGTCCTGCTCGTTGGCATGATTCTCCTTCTGCAGGGCTTCATAGAGGACGTCTGGGTGATTCCAGATCTGGAGGGATCCGGGGAAGAGGAAGGAGGCTTATTTGATAAAAAAAAAAAAACTGATTCATCAAATGTATCACCGGAAAACCGGTTGGTCTGGTCCTTCCACCAGAAGCTTCTACCTAACAGCAAGGAAAGCAGCCTCACCTTGCAGCATACACAGAAGGCTTTGAGTGGGTTTAGACCGAGCCAGCCATTGTTCCCAGCTTCTCGAAAGCGTTTCATGAACTCGGTATACAGCGCCCTCTGAATGGGAGAGAGCCGCACCAAGATCACATGCTCCTCCTTGGAGGGAAGCGAGTCTCTCAGCACATCATGACCTCGTCTGTAACCCAGAAAAGCACCACAGAGATTATTGACAGGTAAGCGTTATCCAGGCTACTATGCTTTCTTTTCCACCATGATGTTCAGTTTTCTAAATCCAGCACTGACAGAAAGTTTACCTCTGGACAAAACCCTCCAGCAGGCTGTGCAGCACGTGGCTGCGGTAGCGCATCAAGCGGCCGTCTTGAGGAGTGCTGTCCACACACTGCCCGTTCAGAATGGGCCGCTCAAACATGTTGCTGAATTCCTGACGTGTGCCTAAAAAGTCAGGCCTAACAAAGTCCACCATGCACCAGTATTCAATGAGGTTGTTCTGCAACGGGTAACCGGTCAGGACGACTCTGCGCCGGGAGCGGATGTTCTTCAGAGCCTGTGATGTGCTGGCGTGGTAGTTCTTAATGCGATGACCTTCGTCACATATCACCACATCTGGGCCCGGCCGCGCTATGGCCCTTTCAATAACTGAAAAGACAAAAGGGAAGATTGAGGGAATCGGTCTGTAAATATAAATTACACCGTACATTTGTTTGCATTTGACACAGACAACGTAGGCCACGGCCTCTGCCGACCTTTCATGAGTTCCTGCTGTCTGTCTTCTTCATCCAGATCAATGATGATTGGTCCTGCTGGCTTCTTTGATTTCCTCTTCTTGCCCGTGACGAAGCTCTTTTTCATGGACAGCAAGCGGTACATCTCATAACCCATCAGCAACACCCCTCCATCTCTGGACCACTCCTCCACGACTTTGGCCCTGGCCAACGTCGTTCTGCAGGTCACACAGAGCGACGATTAACAGCTTAAATGTTTTGACGATCAATGCTTAATCTTGCACACAACATGGCGCGTTACATACTTGTGCTCATCGTTGAGAATGTGAACTTTGAATGTGCGGCCTGTGACGAATGCAGGGTCAGTGTCGGGGGAAAGGGCTTCTTGTGGTGGGAGCCAGAGGTTGAACTCTGTCAGCCAGTTCTGGAGTGTGTTCACCTTTTATGAAGGGAAAAAAAGATTTCAGAGGTTAATTTAATCAAAACAATAAGAATGTTTAGTCTACATATTTCTTTTAGCACTGTACACACTTGTATTACTCACAGGAACAATGACCAGCACAGTGTGAGCCTCAGTATTCATCAGTAGGATGTCAGTGAAGGAAATGACCTGCAGTGTCTTGCCCAACCCCATGCTGTGAGCAAGGATGCAGCCAAAGCCACTGCTGGTCTTGTACCGCTCCAGTGACTCAATGAGGTTATCATAGAGAAACCGGATTCCCCCGATCTTACAAATGAGGAGACAAATGTTTGAGAGTAAACAAGTTGGACTGTGGGGTTATTCTGCTACTGAAGAAGGATGTTTTGAGAGAGATTTTGAACATACCTGGTGAGGTTTGACAGCCTTGGCCAGCTGTGGAGCAAGGTAAAGGTCTTTCTCCTCTGCAGGGTGACTGATATTAACCAGCACTCGACCCTGGGCATCGGGCAGATTCATTGCATCGTTGATATGTGCCCCGCTGCTCTCCTCTGAGGCGGCGGTGCTATCTGCATCCTCATCGGCCGACTCGCTGCTTATCTGCAGGGCGTCCTCGTCCCCAGAACTAAGCTCAATTATATCTGCGTCATCACAGGAGAAGTGAAAACAGTGTGAAGTCACTTGGAGAAGAAAAAAAAGGATCATAGTTTCACATTAGCATCATATATCTTACCATCTCTAATAGCAAGTTCAGGCAGCTTGGGGTCCACTATTTCATCTTCATCGCCACTGCTGTCCAGACAGATCACATCCTGCTTGATCAGGAGCGCCGGGACCAATTGAGACACTTCTCCTAAAATTGAAGCAGCGTCGACTGATGGAGAGACGGGAAATAGTTAGGATATAAAGCACCCAAAAGAAATGTCAAACTTCAATATGGCTGGAAAAGTAGAGCTTCACAGTCACCTAGCTGAGAGTCTGGGACAGTTGAGGCTGCTGTCGGGAAGTCCTTCCTCTGCTGCTCCAGACGCTTCCTCCTGTCCATCTCCTCCTGTTGAGCAGCCTTGGTTCCAGCCTCCAGCTGATCCTCTTTCAGCAGCTTCCTGTAAGCGTCAAGAAAAAGTTCAGTTTTACATGCCAACATTGAGCAATATACTGTGCTTGAGGGGAAATATCAAAACAGATAAATGTACCTGATATTCTTCCTCATGTGTATAGGCTTAGATGGCTTGGAGCCTTTTGAAGACTTAGAAGATTTGGTTGATTTAGAGGCTTTGTGTTTCTTTGTCTTGCTGGGAGGGGGCTTGCTCTGGCTTGAGTTTTCTGGGCTGGTTGGAGGTTGAGAACGAGAGGGGGGTCTGGAGGACGGGCGGGACGCAGGCTGAGACGGAGACTCTGGGGATGGCTCTCCGGAGGTAGTTGAAGTGGAGTCCCTGCCATCCTGAGCAGCTTCTGTCCTGCTCTCTGCACTCGCAGGTCGTTCTTGAGAGTGAAAATAGACAGTATTTCAGTTGATGTCTTCAAAGACTAGTTACCACCAAATCCTTATCTGTGAATGCATTTGAATAATAAGAGGCACAAGAGAAGTTCATTCGTCACTCACCAACACTATCCTCTTCATCGTCTCCGTCATTTTCATCCTCATCTTCCTCCATGTCGTCATTGTCATCATCCTCCTCCTCCTCCTCCTCATTTTCCAAATCCTCTTCTTCACTGTTAAGGCTGGGCTCCAGGTCACTTTCTGAAATGGCCTCTTCAGACATGGCGTCTTACAAGGCTCTCAAAGTATTACCTACACACCTTCATCAGGAGCCCTGAAGTAACAAAAGACATCACATCTTAACCTTTCAAAAGTAAACCTCCTTATTGGACAATGAGATTTTACAACCATCAGTGTTTGTTATTTTTACATGATGAACTAGTTGCACTGTGAATACAGTATTCTCTAACCACTATACTACAATGTTTGATTTATTACACACAACTTAGAATTTAACCATGTCAGGTACATAATCTCCAAGTCACTTCTGTAATGAACAGGTACTCACTGTTGATGTTAAACGTGTTAAAGGACTAGAGTGATATGACGGAATCTTTGGCCCTTATTAAAGCAAGGGACAACAATTTAAATGAATTGTTGAGCTAACTATGAACAGGCCCAATTAAAAGGGCATTCCAGTTGAGGAAAAGTCTGTTTCCTCATTGTGCTATTGCATTGATTGTACCAAGCCCCACCTCTTCATCTCTGCAATTATGAGCCGTTATGCTAAATCAAGCCCCGACCCAAATATGGAGAGAAGCACTATTCTCAACAAGAACGTTAATTTAGGCTGGACTGCTGATGACAAAAGCATGGACAAGTGTTTCAGAATCTCACTGGAACAAAAAAAAAAAAAATGGACTTCTTAAAATGTTCTTTGGATTATAAGAGGCTTCGTTGGTAATGCTGCTGATATGTAAACAAAATAAAAAGGTCTGAAGATAGGCCTGCTGCCTCTGAGTCCTGGTTCATTTGGCCAGATTATACAGAGAAGCAAATACTGGTAATACTGCAAACTGCATAACTAGATGGGAAATCCATCTCTACATTTAAATAAATTTGGTTAACTTGCAGGCGTGAAGTCTGGGGTATACATTGTATGGAAGTTAGTCCCAATTGTGGTCCAAAACAGGCTATTTTTCTAAGGCTCCTACAGCCGTCATACAGTATGTTTACATTTGTATATATCAAATACTGAATGTCGGTCATCTGAGATCATAGTAGAGAAAGGACGGGGGACTCATCAGAGCGGGATCTAAGGTTAAACGTTAAATATGACGTGACACATGGGAGGGATTTCTCCCAAAGGCTTCTGAGCCGAGGATGGCGGAAGCTAACGAGTAGCATGAAGCTACTTCTGCAGCTCATCTGTTATCATGTTGTTGTTATTGTTAATTAACGTTAACATCAAACACCTGTCGTTAGTGGGCTTAATGGGACTTCCAAACTGAATGCAAATAAATGCTAATGTTACTCAGGTTGAGTGAGCAGACCAATATGCTAGCTAATTACACAACAATGAACGCAAATCCAAAACGCTAATACCACGTTAGCTGTTGAACTATACATTGACCATTAGCTAGTGGAAGCAAAACAGAGCGGCTGGTTGTATCTTGGACTCAAAGAAAAGCAGATTTCCTTGCTGAACCGACGTTTTCACGGGCTGCCGTAACAAGATAACAATCTTATATTGTTTAGGTGTGAGGTTCACGTAGCTAATGCTAGCCTGAATTACAACAAGGCTAACGCTGTCGGTTAGGTAAGACGCGCCAGTTGGATTCAAACATCGGGGTGTTGGTGGATCTTACCTTGCATGCAGCTTTGCTGTACTCTTCAATAAACCTCGCTTTGCATACAACAACCGACCAATTAATTCGCCCAGTACGTTAACTGTGTAAATTGAACTGATAAGCGTTGCTAATTTCCATTTTCCCCCAGTGTAACCATTAATACCGTCCCCATACACTCCAAGTGAGGTTCCGGAAAGCCCGTAAACGAAGGGGAAAAAAAAACGTTTTCATGTTTAAACTTTTAATGTTTGCAACACGTCAAGTCCGAATTACGTATTGTGCTTGTTTTTGGTAAATAGCCTCTACCCAAACAGTATTCACTTTAATCCTGTAACATTACATTCATACAATAAAAAACGTAAAAGAGTAGCATTTTGAATTTTGTTTACATGTCCATATGTTAATATGAATATTAAATATGCCCTAATTTATTTATTTGTTATATGGCAAGTTCTGAAAATACTGTGGAGCTGTATTGGACAAAAGTCGGGACTTTATGACCATTAGTGCAAGAATTAATGACATTCAACTAATCATTTACTTAACCTTTAAATTGATTAGTATTTCACCTTATCCATCATTTAGAGTTGTTTAAATAAAACTACGAATGCACTGATTGACTGATTTGATTTATTTTGGTCTCAGTTCTGACAACAGGAAGTTGAGGAGAGGACGTGTTTTTGCGACACCCTGTCGGTTCTTGATGACGTAGTTTGTAGGCGGCCAATTTCTGTCTATTGTGTTTATCTTGAGCTCTCCACAGTTGTGTCGTGAATGGATACAACATGACCGTTTAAGATTATTACACCTCTTTTGGACATGGACTGGAACACATCTTAAAGATTAGTTCAGCTCGGCTCAAATGTGAAAATGAACAAAGGGTGGCTCGAGCTCGAGAGTGATCCAGGTAAAGACAACTCGACAAACAACACAGCTAACGTCACCCATCGTTAGCTTCCACATACATCCAGATGGACAGGTTAGCTTTCCAAGCAGCTTGACTTATTAAGCGTAGAAAGCAACTTGAATCCAATACAAGATTGAAACACGGTTAACACGAATATGTATGTCTATTGTCAACTGTTGAGCAAGTTGATGGAGCGAGTAACCAAAGGCAAAATATGAGGAGGATTACCGTTATTAGCTAAAATAATAACGTTAAACTCGTCAATCATGCGGTTTTCTGGTGTGCTCTATGTTATTTAACCATAAATAAAACATTTGATGATTTCAGGACTCTTCACTTTGCTGGTTGAAGATTTTGGTGAGTAACGATTGCACTTTTAAAATAGCTAAATCCTGTCCTGGGGGCTAATAAAGCCAATTAAAATGTATATTGTATTGTGTATTCTGTAGGTATCAAAGGTGTTCAAGTAGAGGAAATATATGATCTTCAAAGCAAATGCCAAAGGTACGTCATTTGTAACCAACACATGTCTGTTTGGTGAACAATAGTTGCGAGTAAATCAATAATGAAACTCTGGCAGATAAATCAGGTAATCCCATCCAAGCTTGTATCTGAATATAGTGTTCGTGTTCTTACGCCCTGTTGAACTGTAGAATCAACACATGAACAGTGTTTGACATGATTTTATTTTTTAGCCCCGTCTATGGCTTCATCTTCTTGTTCAAGTGGATTGAGGAACGTCGATCCAGGAGGAAAGTAAACACTTTGGTGGATGAGACTTCTGTCATTGACGAGGAAATTGTAAATGATATGTTCTTTGCTCATCAGGTAAGTGTTTGGCTTTGGCAGTTATTGTAGTTATTGATTAGTATTTTGATCACTGAGCAACTGATCTGTTTTTGAAGTCATAAAGCCTTTAGCTGAGCATGAGCTGTCATGCTATCAGTATTAGATTAGATTAGATGTTCTTTATTGTCACCGAAGGGAAATACATTGTTTTCATTAGTACTGTCCATAATGTAAATACGGTGGTCCTGAGCAACTTTCATTCATCGCCAATAATCATAAACAAACATTTAACATCACATTAGGCAACAATTGTTTTAGTATTTAAGTCGTTACTTTTTCATTCAATTTGCAAAACCGTGGCATTCGTACCTTATCTGGCCTCAAAGTCATTTGTGAAAGTTATTTGATTATTAGCCACAAGAAATTATGAAAAGCCATAAAATTGTGGTACTTCTAACCATTACATTTTTTTGTGTTTTCCTATAATGTAATATATGTTGCAAAATGTGTACATTCATATCTAAAATTGAATGAAATAGTTCTGAAAATGTTTTGTCCTAATTGTAAGAAACCGTGCTGCTAAAAAAGAAGCTTGAATACAAATATATATGAAACCAAAGATCAAACTATTCAGTGTTAATGAAAGGACAGATAGTGCTGATATATATATATATATGTGTGTGTGTGTGTGTGTGTGTGTGTGTGTGTGTGTGTGTGTGTATGTATGTATGTAAAAATACAGAGATTATTCAACCATACAAAGTAGAAGTCATAAGATATTTTTCTGCTTCCAGCACTTATAAATCATGTCTTGTAATGATGCCATATTCTAACTCTGACTTGTGTTTATGCTGTCATTTATGTATCTAGCTTATACCAAATTCATGTGCCACCCACGCTTTGTTGAGTGTGCTTCTGAACTGCAGTGGCGTTGAGCTCGGCACCACCCTTAGTCGCATGAAGGCTTTCACTAAAGGCTTTAGTCCAGAGGTAAGATGTTTCTCACACTCACTCATGTATCTGTGTTGTGTTAAGTGTAATTTAATCGTGTGCTTTATATTTACATTTTTATTTAAAAATCAGTCCTCAGATTTGCTTTTCCTTCAGATGTTACAGTCTAAGAAATCCTAGGAAGTTGATAAAAACTAAATAGGTGCTGGGTGGAAACGCATTAAATATAAAGAACAGACAATGGAAAAAAAAAAAGCCCCCCAAGAGCATTTACAACTAGTTTTTGTAGCTCAAGCCTAATTTTAAATCAGGAGTTTTTCATTTGTATCAACAGTCTCTCTTTCTCTCTGCATTAAAATGCAAAATACACACTATATATATATATATATATATATATATATATATATATATTCATATTCATATTCATATTCATTCTCTCTCCCTCCTGCTCACCCACTGTCATGTTTACATTTTATGTATTTTTCAGAGTAAAGGTTACGCAATAGGAAATGCCCCAGAGCTGGCCAGAGCACATAACAGCCACGCCAGGTAGGTTACAGTCAGTGGTTCCTTTTTAACAATTTCACATCTCTTTGAAAAATGAATCCTATTTGATTGGTCGACGACACTGTGAGAGATGTCCGGCTTTGTACATTCATCAGTTTCTAAAGCTCTCTTTCCGTGTTTCTATGGAGACCGGAGCCCAGGCACCTGCCGGAGAAACAGAATGGGATCAGTGCAGTGCGAACTATGGAGGCCTTCCACTTTGTGAGCTATGTGCCCATCAAAGACCGCCTCTTTGAGCTCGACGGACTCAAGGCTTACCCCATTGACCACGGTATGAGAAACACAGTCCTGTTCTTTTCACACTGATTTGTAGCATTTTGGCTGGCATCAAAGCACTAAAGGGTTGCATAAAGGCTGAGCATATGTCGACAAGAGGTTTGTATTGAATTCAAGAGTTCACCTATTGTTATTTATGTTTTATCATTGTTAGAAGCAGCTTTTATCCAGTGTGTGCCCTGAAATCTGGCCTCATTCATATTGTTATGGGATTCCTTGTCATGACAAATTTGCTATGAATTGCATTAACGCATAAATAAAGTATAATATTTGACTGTTTTTCAGGGCCTTGGGGTGAGGAGGAGGAATGGACCGATAAAGCTCGGCGGGTGATCATGGAGAGGATCGGACTGGCCACTGCCGGGTGAGTCCTGAACCAGTTAGCTCACGCAGCGATAATTCACCTCCTTCTTCTTCTTCTCACGCTGTTGCTCTGCTCTTTCTCAGTGAGCCGTACCATGACATTCGCTTCAACCTCATGGCAGTGGTGCCTGACCGCAGGATGAAGTACGAGTCCAAACTGGAAATTCTAAAGAGGAATCGACAGACTGTTCTGGAGGGTCTACAGAAGGTCAGGAACTACTAGATATTTCCTCACCCGAAATAGAATACAAATAGATGAATTGTTGTGACCTTTGCTGCAGCATGTCATAGTTGACACTTGTTTTGATGTCCTCATGAGGTATTGCTTATAATTGTTTATGCTAAGCCTCTTTTATAGTATGAGATATAAGATAACGTGATGGGGACGATATTCAGCCGAGCAGGATCTCCTCAGTGACGTCTACTGACATTGGTGAATATGTTGTAAAATATCTTTTGTATGTTGTCATGCCTTCAGATGATCCGGCTCACTCAGCCCGAGCTTGTCCACGACAAGAAGCAGCAGGAGTCTTCCTCCGTTGATGATAACACCACTACGATCAAGAAAGAGGCAGATGCGGAGCCAGTTACATCCGTAACAGGTACTTAAGTTGGCTTTATTTCCCCGGCCTTTGTTCAAATACATCTTGTAAACATTCTACTGAAATACACCGACTCTCACATTCGATTCAGTGGACGAGTCAGGAGATCAGTCCAAGGATGCCCCTAGCCCCTCAGGAAACGCTAAGGTCATGGGCAAACCACCAGTCCCCACAGGAGGAGGTCCCCAGCAAGTCACCACTCCCAACCCCATCGTTCCGCGGCTGCCTGCCTTCCTGGACAACCACAACTATGCCAAGTCTCCAATGCAGGTAAGAGCAGAAGTAAAGGTCCTGGCTAGTCTGTGTGTTCTGCAGTTTCTTCACCAATTTTGGCCTGAACGGATCTTTGTCCGAGGATTTGGTTGTATTGTACAAAATGCAATCCCACTATACTGTTAACTAAAAGCCTCTTTGTATGATGTTTTTCTCTGTTCCTGTTGTTGAAGCAGCTTAAATTTAAAGTCATGTTAGTTGCTGCAGAAAAAAGGATGATGTGGAGTTTTACAAAAGATTCTCTGATTAACAGGAAGAGGAGGATCTTGCTGCTAGAGTTGGACGCTCTCGAGGGGCAGGGCCGGCCAAACCCCAATACTCTGAGGATGAAGATGAGGATGAGGAGGAGGAGGAGGAGGAAGTCACTGGTTCTGCAGGCACATCCAACAGGTTAGCATTGTAATGAATATATAGGTGTGTTTTATTTCT